CCCTCTCCGTCTGCAGATCAACAGACCGACCTTGTGTCCAGGGATCGCCGTGAAGGGCTGTCTGACCAGAGGGGCCTAGTGTTCTTTCCCATCACAGACACTGCACAGACCGAAAATCCAATGTCAACATGGCTTTCAGAAAGAATGTCTGCTTTATCAAAAGGCTTCTGGGAGAAATGTCTTTCAATAAGAAACTCACCCACTTCATTTACAGTTGATTTCAATTTATAAAAATAAATGGAATAGCAAGAGTTTTCAGGAATGGTTAGCATATATATATAAAACAGGTTCACTTACAGTTTTAAAGGTGTGTGTGTGTGTGTGTGTGTGTGTGTGTGTTTAAATAACAGGTGCTAATGCCATGAAAATTTATACAATACTCTTACAACTAATATTTTATTCAGTTATTTACATAACACTCATTGTGAGCATTTTCACCGCCTCAGATTCTCCACCTGAAACATGGGGAGTCCTTGCCTGGTGTGGGAATTTACATCGGGGAACTGTAAGTGCCAAGTTTCTCCTTTTACCCCTAGCGAGTAACTTGATCACATTTTGGATGGAGGAGCTATTTCTCACGTTAAAAAAATGAGGTGAGGGTGTAAGTGCCACACCCAGTTGCGATCGCCTTGTTCAGGCCTGTCCTTGCAGGAGGCAGCGCTCCCAGGCCTCACCGTCCATTCTACACCCTTCGAGTCTCTGACACGGCACCTCATGCTCCACCACCTCCGGGTATGGACACAGTCACAGTTCTTTCATTTTCCCACGTAATGGACTGCAAATCAACTTACCTTTATTCCCCAAGACAAGAATATGTCCGCTCTATCTCCTCCACCCGAAGAGACTAAGAACTCAGCCCCGAGCTTCCCAAACACCAGCTAGAGAGAGAGATTCGTGTCTACCAGATCTGTCCCTGTGCTTGCAACCACGGGTGTGGCTACTAAATGCCAGATTCCGTGTTCTTTGTGAGCAACTTTTATGCTCAGATATTCACTGAGTGCCTCCCATGGGCCAAGCACGGGGGTTAGGCACAAGATGCTGGGGGAGCACAGTGGACACGGCTTCCGCCTGCCTGCGCCTTCCCCAGGATGATGGGATGCAGGGAACAATGCCTTCCTGGACCAGGGCCACCGGCCAACGTGAGGCGCTGCATGCTTGGGTCCCAGAGATGCAGCTCTCCCGGGTCACACACAGGCTCACACACGACACCTGCCGGCCACACACCAGTCCCCTCATCATCCCTATCGCTGAGAGCAAAGGGGCACGGATAAGAATCCTAAAAACAGGCCTCTCCAGGTTACCCCAGTTCAGGACTCTGGTCTCACACCGAACCTGCCGAGGCCGCGACCCCAGACTCCCAGCCTCCTGAACTGTGAGCCATAAATGCCTGCTGTTCCCCAACCACCGTCTCCGGAATTTGGTGACAGCAGCCTGAACTGACTAGGACAGGGGTCTGCAACCTTTAAGACATAAAGAGCCACTTGGACCCGTTTCCGAAGGAAAAACAAACAAACCTGGGAGCCGCAAAACCATTGCGACATTTAAAACAAATATAACACTGCATACATTGTTTCTTACCTTAATGCTATATACCGGATCGTGCAGTTAGCTGTCAATCTGAAGAAAAAAAGGATTTTTTCACTTAACAATGTAAAATATATTTTTGCAAATTAATAGCTAATTAAAATATTTAATTTACCTGGTTAATGGAATTTTTGCTCCTGAACCTCAGTGCACAGTGTCTGCACATCAGGGCTGTAAGACGTTACCTTCGTTTTCACACAGGCTTGCAAGTTGTCATCTGTGAGGCGTGATCGATGTTTGTTTTTAATATAGTTCATGTTGGAGAAGACCTGCTCACATACATATGTGAAGCCGAAGATCAACAGGACTCCAAATGCATACTTTTTCTATGTTGATATAAGTGTTGGGGATGGCCTTCCATGTTTTGAATACAAGTTTGTCCTGTTTGGGAAGGTTTTCAATATCACTCCATTTAAGATTCTGAGCCAGAATGGCCTTCTGACGGGCAACATCCTCAAGAATAGCGGTCAAGCATTTGAACTTGGACACCCATATATCTTTGTCGGCTATATCAGCCAGTTCCATCTCAAGATCAGGTTGACTTACACCTGCAAATGCAGTCATATTCAATAGGGATGGATCGATCGCCAGGGGAGTGACAGGGAAGGATAATGTAGTTTTTTCCTCTCTGAACTCACAGAATCGTTTCCCAAACGAACTTTGCATTGTGGTGATTGCAGACTTCAAATATTCCAAATTTATCGTATCATGACTTTGTTTGAACTCTCTCAAAGAGGGAAAGTGAGACAGTGTACCTCTCTGTAAATCTTTGACAAACACTGTCAACTTGTGCTCGAATGCCAAAACCTCCTCCAACATGTGCAGGGCTGTGCCTCCTTTCCCCTGAAGGGTTGTATTTAGTGTGTTTAGATGTGCTGTCATGTCTACCATAAAATGTAATTTTTCCAGCCACTCTGGTTGTTCCAGCTCAGCAAAGGTGAGCTCTTTGCTGGCCAGGAAAGTTTTTACTTCTTCCAAACATGCAACAAAGCTTTTTAGCACCTCGCCTCTGGACAGCCACCGGACCTTGTTGTGGAGCAGGAGGTCAGAATATATGCTTTCCACCTCATCCAATAGCAAACGGAACTGGCAGTGGTTTAAAACCTTTGCCATTATCTTATTAACAATCTGAATGACCACATCCATCACATTTTATATTATCCACATTTGTAGATATGGCATTAATTTATTTTCCATTGATTTTTAGTGAGAGTGGAAGGAGGCTGGGCCAGGACAGGGATGCTGTGGTTGCCTGGCGACGCTAAGTCACCCTCAATGCAACACAGAGCGCTGGGAGCGCCAGAGGCGGGCGGAGGTAAGCGATACAGCTCCCCGCCCACCCCCTGCTATCTGCCCTGCTGGGAGCCGCGGCAATGCTTCAAAAGAGCCGCATGTGGCTCTGGAGCCATAGGTTGCCGACACCTGGACTAGGACATAGGAACCATTTTCCTCAGTTCCCCTGTGTTATCGGATTATCACACTAAAATATATGATGGGGTTAAGTGGAAGATTGTGGATTTTTTTTTACATAATCTGTCTTTAAATTGACAGAAGAGCCTGGTGAGGCAGATTTGCAATGCAAAGATGATAGAGAGTGTGCAACACTCTCCATTGTCTCAGATTGGGAAAGTCAATGAAATCAGGTTGGGGCCTGCTTTCATCTATGGAGAGGGCACTGCCTGTATCAGCACCAGCACCAGCACCGCCTGTAGCAGCTTGCCTACTCCCAGGCTGCAGGTAACGCTGACTGGCAGGCATCCTCTGGCCCTTTGTGAAGCGCTAGGTGCTCAGATCTCTAACTGCAGCCTCTCCCTGTGTGTCCACACCTTGTGGGCCCTCTGCCGGGGCTGATAGGAGAACAGGAAAAACCTGGAGACCTGGGCACAAGGCTTCTGTCACTTACTGTGTGGCCTTGGGCAAATTATTTAGCATCTCTGAGGTCTCCTCATCCAAAAAGTGGAGAAAGCAATACAAAGCTCACAGGATTGTTGGTGAGAGCAAATAAACGGCCTGCTAAGTTGGTGCTGATGAGCAGTGTTACACAAAGGCTGCTTGGTGATTATTTATTTATTTATTTATTTATTTTAATTTAATAAATCTTTATTGCTCAGATTATTACAATTGTTTCTCCTTCCCTGCCCCCCCCCCCATAGCTCCCTTCCACCCGGTTCCCATCCCACCCTCTGCCCTTACCCACCCCACCCCACCCCACCCCGCCCGCCCCCTGCCATTGTCCTCATCCTTAGGTGTACATTTTTAGTCCACACTTTAGACTGTACCAGGCTCAGCACCTCCGTGTGTCCCTTATCACCTCCGGGTCATCCTGGCCACACTGTGGGGACCAGCCAGCTGGGCAGCACAGGACACCTGACACCTGCCCAGGTGGACACACGCTCCTGACAGCTAATGTCTGAGTATGAAACCAGGTCTGGCTCTTCATCCCGAAGCTTCTATGGACAGGAAGGCAAAGGTGGATCCACCCACAGTGCGGGAAAGGTGGGGAGGAGTTACAAGGTGTAGGCTCTTGTTTAGGGAGAGTAAGATCATCCCACATGGGACCCAATTCCATGCCTTTCCCCAGGAGCCGTGAGAGCTGGCTTCAGGGGTAGATGGCTCCTGGAGCAAAGCGAGCATTTTTTTTTTTTTTTTTAGCATCAAATTATCAACCGGTAATTTCAACGGTGGTTATTCAAACTAGGTACTGAATGTGAAATATATAGATTAGAAACTATTTTTTTTCTCGGTAGAAAGCTGATAATGTGATCATATAGAAAATGTCTTTATTCTTGAGGGATGCCAAATTGTACCAGTAAAAATAAATTTAGGAATGGCGTATCATGATGTTTATAACTTATTTTCCAGTGGTTTACAAAAAAACTTATATACTTATATATATAATGTTTTATACACACACACAAAAAGAGAGAGAAAAACAACTATGACAAAATATTAACAATGATTAATCTAGATGACAGATACAGGGATTCATATTACCATTCTTTCAACTACTCTGTAGGTTTGGAAAACTTTACAGTAAAAAAGTTGAAGAAGCCCTAACTGGTTTGGCTCAATGGATAGAGCATCAGCCTGCAAACTGAAGGCTCCCAGGTTCAATTCCCGACAAGGGCATATACATTGGTAGTGGGCACATCCCCAGTGGGAAGTGTGTAAGAGGCAGCTGATTGATGTTTCTCTCTCATTGATGTTTCTAACTCTCTATCTCTCTTCCTTTCTCTCTATAAAAAATCAATAAAATATATATTGTTAAAAAGTTGAAGAAGTTGTATCTATTTGCCACACTCTTAAAATAGGATATGCAGTTTTTCTTTATCTTTTCATTTTCCAGGGGAGTGTATCACTGGCTACCTCTGCATACTGTGTCATTGGGCTTTGTCTGCCATGTTGGCTTCCAAGAAGGAACATTCCCACCATCAGTGCACACCCGGCCCCGGCCAGATTCCCGCAGGAGCCTCTTCACAGGCCCGCTGGCACACTCTCCAACATGGAGCTCGGGGCCCGTGCGCCCGGCGTCCTCGGATGTGCCCCGTGGCTGTGCCTCTTGCCATGGTGCCTCTTCATGTGGCAGACGTGGCCGTGGGCATGCTTCCTGGCTGCTTGCTTCCTCAGCCACTGTTTCACGGTGTGGCTGTGCGGGCTGGCACAGATCCTCCGGTGCCTGACATGGAGGCTGCAGAGAGAGGAGAAGGACATCACGGAGAGAAAGGACCGGGAGCCGCTGGCCACGGGCAGTGCCCAGCTCAGACACCCAGGGGCAGGCCTCCCCCCCCCAAGGGCACTCACATGACGGCCGCCAGGTCACAGTCCCCGTCGGCCCTCTGGATGCGACAGGCGCTCACTCTGTCCAGGAGGCGCCGGGGGACGTGGTGGGAAACCAAGGTGCAGCAGCTGGAGGCGATGGGGAGGATGGCTGGAAGAGGACAGGAGAGGCAAGGCCACCCCTTACAGTCTGTAGAGCAACGGCCTGGCTCGCATCTTAAAGACCCCACAGAGGCTGGCTGGTGTTGCTCAGTGGTGAGTGTTGGCCTCTGGACCTGGACCAGGGGGTCACAGTTCAATTCCCAACCAGGGAACATGCCTGGGTTGTGAGTTTGATCCCCAGGGCGGGGCGTGCAGGAGGCAGCCCATCAATGATTCTCTCTCACCATTGATATTTCTATCTCTCTCTCCCTCTCCCTTCCTCTCTGAAATCAATATATATATATATATATATATATATATATATATATATATATATATATATATATATTTTTTTTTTTTTTTTTTTTTTAAAGACTCCAGAGAAACAGAATGTTAATCCACTTGAGCAAGGGGCAGACAGGGACCGATGGGTAGCTTTGCTTGCAGGCCCCAGCTCTGCCTTCTAGAATTTACACTAAATGGGGGAGTGAGGGGGGGGATAAAACTAAGTACAGCCTAGCTGATTTGGCTCAGAGGATAGAGCATCAGCCTGTGGACTGAAGGGTCCCAGGTTCCATTCTGCTCAAGGACACTTACCTGGGTACCAGGCTCCATCCCCAGAACGGGGCGTGCAAAAGGCAGCCAATCAATGATTCCCTCTCAACACTAATGTTTCTATCTCTTCCTCCTTTTCCCTTCCTCTCTGAAATCAATACAAATATATTTTAAAATAAAAACTAAGTCAGATGGAGCACAAACCGAGGGAAGAGATGAACGCCGCTCAGGCAGCCATGTGCTGGGGTGCAGACTGACTGGATAAAAGATGGCAGAAGCAGGTGACACAGTTCAGAAGAGAGCCCCACATGGGCCCCGGGGCAGTCCCCACGCGGGAAGGACTTGGCTGAATCCTGAAGGACTCAGTGTGTGGAGGAAAAGGGAGACTTACCCAGACTGAAGTAAGTGCATGGTCAGGAGCCCATGGAGGCCTGGGTGGAAGGGGGCAGGCTGGGAGAGGCCAGTGGGGGAAGAGGAGACGTATGCAATACTTTACACAAACAAGCAGAGAGTCCTGGGACTGGAAAGCATGGGGTGTGGAGAAAGGGACCACTGTCTGGATGGAGCAGCTCGGAAGGTGAGTGACAGGGAGCACGGGGCACACCATGAAGGCCTAGTGTCAGTCTCAGGGGGTTTTGCTTTTATGAAGTGAGGACCACTAAAGGTTTGAGAAAGGAGAAGGGTTTTAGGAAAATCCATGTTACAGTGACAAGCAAGATGGACCAACGTGGGGAGAGTCTGTGGCAGGAAATCAAGCTGGGAGGGGCTAGCCTTATCCAGAGGTAAGGGGAGGAGGGCAACGCAAATAAAGAGAAACCTCACCCCTGCTAAGTGTGCAGATCCCTGCCTGCCACCGGCACACAGCATTCTTCTGGCTTCCCATGTCACCAAGTGGCTAACACATCTCTTTTTAAAAATTAGATGCAGGTGCAGCCTGGTAATAACAGTTAGAACGAGAGGCTGATAGAAATGAGTCAGCCTCTCCGTGTTGTCAGCTGTAAGCAACAGAGGCAGCTACCCTCGGGAGGAGAGAAGACCTGAGTCCATGCTCCGCCCACCTGGAGACAGGCTCCTCCCAGCGAGGGAGTAGAGAGGAAATAAAATAAGGATATCTAGGTGACTCACTCTCTGGGCACCAACATTTTCCATTGTTACTCATTCATCTATTCATTCAATTTTAAAAAATATATTTTCATTGATTTTAGAGAGGAAGGGAGAGACAGAGAAACATCAATGATGAGAGGGAATCATTGATCGGCTGCCTCGAGCCCGCAACCCTGGCATATGCCCTTAACCAGAACAGAACCCAGGACCCTTTAGTCCACAGGCCGATGCTCTATCCACTGAGCCAAGCCGGCTAAGGCTATTCATTTAATTATTCGATAAAGACTCACTGAACAGTTCCAGGCACAATGACACTCACTGGGGGATACAAACAATACATAAACAGTGTGTCCCTGACCTCCAGAGGCTGTGGGAGAGGAGACAAGCTTGGAGCGAAATGCTCAGGGAACAACCACATTGGTACAGTCACTACACTTCTCAAATCTGTGCTCCTGGGGTTCCCACAAGCATAAAGACAGGGCACAGGCATTCCCGAGAGCAGAACATTAGAGACCATCTGTATGTCTACCAGAAGTTAAATACATAATGTACACTCTAAGGATGAGGTAGGTCCATATGTGTTAACACTCAAATTCCATAACTTATTAAGTGCAAAGAGCAAATTTCAATATAAGAACTACAAATGATTCCATCTTTGTTAAAAATATACACACAAACACAGAGGAAAAGATGTAGAAATATTTAGCCCTAATTTACTAGTATAAGAAAAGACTACTAGAAAGGGGACACTTTTTCAACTAGCCTGCAATACTTGTAATTTTCTTAAACTCCCAGTGTTAGGCAGGTTGGAACGAATTCTATAGAAAACACCACCCAGGGAAGATGGGAGGCATCAAAGGGTGTGAAGTTTGGACTCCGTTTTGGAGGAGGGGTCAGCATTCACTGGTTGAAAGGGGAGGAGGAACATTCCTAGCAGCAGGAACTGCATCTCCAGAACCCTGGTGTGGAAGAGAACCGAAGACTGTTTATATCACAGAATCTGAGTCACATTTGAGGAACCTGGTGTCTTACACAGAGACAAGTCTCCTCTGGCAAGATTCTCATCAACAACAGTCCAAGGGGGAGGCTCAGACTGCAGCCTTGTCCAGATCCCGGGGAATGTGTGCCTTGACCTTGGTCCCAGACCCTTAAGGACTATCTGTGTCAAGGTCACTGGAGCTCTTTCCCTCCAGAAGAAAGACGTGCGCCTGGTCCCCCTCCCCTCCTATCCTAACAGCTCAGTCAGTGCTGCTCCTTTTGGAACAGAATCCCAGCTTGATGTAAATCAGTGACAACCTGGCTGCAGCCCAGGACATCTCTCTCTCAATGCTCAGGGAATTAACATATACATACAACCTCCACGTAGACATTAATTATTTATCTACACAAATTCCTTACAAAAATGTATGTCTTCAGTGACTACTAAACCATGCGTTTAAATGAAACATATAGCTGAAATACACCCACATCTGCCAAATAAATTGATAAGTTCTGCTCAGCTTCACTTCTGTCCTCAGTTAGTGACACCCAGAGATGCAACAGCCCTAGAAAGGAACAGGTTAACATTGTCCAGGGCAAGACATTTCATGCCACAAGGATCTCTCCGCTTCCCTCTCAATCTAGAGCCAGAGAGAACTTTCCGAGCTGTTATGGGTGTAAGGAGTGTGTGTCAGGCACACCCCCCATCACCCAACCAGACTCACTGGAATAGGAAAAGCACCATTCGTTCAGCAAACAGGCATGGAGGGCCCTTCTGTGCCAGCCTGAACTCTGAAATAAACCAGGCAGAGTGTCTGCCCTCAAGGGAGGAAGGCAGTTAAACAAGTAATCACAACACAGCAGACGTGTTGACAGGCACATTCACTGTGTGATGGGATTATCAGGGACAGAGGCCAGATTCAAAGACTCTGTTTATATGAAGTGTCCAGTACAGGCAAAGCCATAGCAACGAGTGGTGTCCAGGGGCTGGGATGGGGGGTGGGGACTGACTGCTTACAGGATCAGGGTCTGTTTTGGAGGTGGTGAAATGTGCTGGAATTAGAGGTGATGATTGTATAATTCAGCAAAGGCACTGGAAACCACTCAGTGGTGAGTTTTATGGTATGCGAATTATATTTCAACTTTATAAAAAGTTCCACAGGCCCTAACCAGTTTGATTCAGTGGATAGAGCATCGACCTGTGGACTGAGGAGTCCCAGGTTCGGTTCTGGTCAAGGGCATGTAGCTTGGTTGCAGGCACATCCCCAGTAGGAGGTGTGCAGGAGGCAGCTGATTGATGTTTCTCTCTCATCAATGTTTCTAGCTCTCCATCCCTCTCCCTTCCTCTCTGTAAAAATCAATAAAATATGTTTTTTAGAAAGTGCTATAGGAGCACAGCACATTGATTGTTTTTACATTTATTTATTAAAATGAGTTATTTTTTTCCTCCTCTAGCTATGCTGTGCTGCTTATTCTCCAAGTCAAAACTGTTTTAATACCCACCCCCCAAATTTGGGAGTTTATCCATGTGTCCATTCACTATGTGAATTCTCACAGCTATGTGTATAAGATGGCTTCTGAATGAGTCACTATGCTAGGGATGAAGGTAGGAAGACAGAGTTACTAGCTTCAAAGAGCTAATACACAGACCACTGCAGGGTCGTGACCCAGGAAACCATAAAAGAGGAAATGGCTTTCCGAGTCATAGGCACACCTGTGTGCTTAAGAGTTTGAGTTATCTGAGTTCTGGCATCAATTCCAGAAATAGTCATGTTGGCCGATGTGACTGGTGCCCTAATGAGGAATTCCGAAATACATAGAAGCTAGAATCCTTTGAAAGTTCTTGAGGAGTCAGGCAATGAAGAATGGCATCAGGGAGGCTTGGACTAAGCTAGGGCAGTGGGAAGGTTCTTTTGGACAATGTCGCCCCCTAGAGGTTTTCTCACGCTGACTTCAGTCCGCATATTTCCATTTTTAAAGAAAGGTCAGCAACTTCCTCTGATTTCCACATCGGGGAGATTACCAGAGGCAATAAAGTTGAAAAAAGGAATGAGTTGACATCCCTTCTGCATTGATGTCGGTTTTATTCGTATGATACGTTTCCTTGTGTGCGGAAGCAAGCTGATAAGGAATTAGGAAAACCAAGCCTTCCTGTAAAGGTCACCTTGAATGCCACCGTTGCAGGAAGCCAGGAACCCCAAGGAAAGAACCTGCTTTGGCCCCAAAACAGGAACCCACAAGGCCTGTCTGATGCAGTAGGGGTTCCCGAGAGGGAAATGAGAGGTCTCGCAGAGCGGGCTTGATAAAGCAGTGGGGCCCAAGGTATGAACAAGCTTAGGTTTATTATGAGGCTTGATCCCCCTCACCCCCAAC